GTAGAATGCCCCGTTTTGTTTGGAGGTATCAGTGTTGGTCCAGAGAAGGCATGGGGAAGTGAACTCGAAGGATGAGCTCGCAGTTGGAGGCAGTGTTGTTTGATGTGGTGATTTTGAACATAGAGTGGTTGAAGGATACAACGTTTCAGGGTATGACCAGAAAGTAGAAGACTTTTGAAATGCAGTCCAAATTTCTGAGAGGTGAGGTTTTTGAGTTAGATCAGAAGAAAGATAATGAGTCAAGTATTCTTTAGCGGTACTGGGTTGTGGCAAGGATGTTGATTGATGGGAAGGAACTGGAGAAGGTTTTATGATCCTATGAAGGTTGGCAGACATTTTCCCAAGGATGAGAAAAGGTGGTGTTTCTGAACTGGCAGTGGGTCAGCAAGAAGTGATTGAGGGTGCTGAAGGGTCAAGGCACTCAGGCATTGAGGTTTGAGGGTGAGGCAAGGAGGTACCATCCTGGAAATAGAAAGTCAACCTGATGGAGTCATGGAGCAGCTTGGGAAGGAGGGAAGGGGTCTTTAGGGGATATGAGGAAGTTGGATCAACTCAGCATAAGGGATGACCAGAGATGCTTGTCTTTGTGGCACTGGATACAGAACTCCTGAAATACCTTCTAGAAAAGTGGTCTCAAGGCCATCCGAGGGGGCTATCACTATACACTTACTCTAAGGGGATTTTGATTCTGTGTCCTTTGACAGACTGTGGCCACGACACTGCCATCAGTCTGTGGTTAAGTGTAATAGCTTCCTAAATAAATTTTCTCTGAATACTTTGACCTGTAGCAGTTCCAAGCAAATTATTGTAAATAGGGAGCACATTTTTTTCTTTTTACTCAAACTCTGATAACAAATGTGTAGAGTTCTCTCTCTCCCAGACAAAGCAGTTCATCTCTGTGCAGACACCAACTGGATGTCCTATCAATTCAGATTAGTTTTGAACTGTCTGCATGGAGTTGGTGAGCCCACAAGTTAAGGCTTGAGTCTATGGGATGGTCCCCACTAAATATGCCAGTCAAAGGCTGGCCAGCTATAAATTGGGAAGTCCCTTAATCCCTTTCTCAGGCTTGGTGATTTACGTTTTAGATTCAGTGTGAAGCTCAAAAAGCTTTGAATTTTAGAGCATTTTGGGTTTCAGATTTTCAGTTAGGTATGTTCAAGCTGGTAAAGTCTATGCAAGTATTCCAAAATCTGAGAACCCCCCCAAATTTGAAACACTTCTGGATCTAGGCATTGTAGAAGGGATAGTTAGCTTGCAATGGCTTATAGGAACACTTGTTTATTACTACTGGTTTATTATAAAGGATACAACTTGGGCCTAGCCAAATAGAAGGCGTGGGGGTGAGTGGGGGGGGTGGGACTTCCATGCCGTCTAGGGTATGTATCACCCTCCCAGCACTTTCACTGGCCTGGAAGTGCTCCAAGGTTTTTATGGAGGCTTTGTTAGATAGATGTGATTGATTAAATTATTGGCTGCTGCTGATTAAGTTCACTTTTATCCCTAGGTTGTGGGTAAATGGGGGTGCCCAGGTTTGAGGGTGGGTGAGGTAGGACTGGGGGTCGGTTGATGGTGGGGCTAAAGGTTTCACTCCTTTCATTACATGGTTGGCACCTCTGGCAACTTGCCCCCATCCTGAGTCATCCACTAGATAAACTAAGATATGGTTGAGAAAAACTTACTATAAATAGCAACTGGTGCCTCTTTCACCCCTGTCATTCAGGAAATTTCAAGGGTTTTTAAAGCTCAGCATCAGGAACCTGGGACAAACACCATACACACACACACACACACACACACACACACACGCACACACGCACACACGCGCGCGCGCGCACACACACATGCAAATCACTTCTCTGCTTAAAACATCATAGCCTTTGCAATCTTATTTGACCAGTTTTTTTTCAAATAGATCATCCTCCCCCAGTCAGCTGTTTTCATTTCCTGGATGGCAGCCTCATCTCATAGTTAGGCTATAGTCTAAGCAGTTGAAACAAAGAGAATAAAAAATTCAGTGGCTAAAGAAGGATAGGGTTTTACCTCTTCCCTTGTGTACTGTTGTACAGCAAGAAGATTATCAAGAGTTGGTAGGGAACTCTTCCAACCACAGCTGATGGTTTCACTTTAGGGCCCCAAATGGATGCTTTTGTGTCTCATTTTTAACAAGAGGACATCATGTTTGCTTGTTTGGGGGACAGGACCTAAAAAGGGCACCTTTATTTCTGTTTCCATTATGATGATGATTAATCTCATGGCCACACATAGCTTCAAAGGAAGATGAGAAGTATGGTTGCTATCAAGGCAGCATGTCTCATGGAAAGAGGAGAGAACAAATATTTGTGGATTATTAGGGGAAATAAGTATACATCTGAAATATTATCATTTGTGGGAATATATACAAAAGGCCAGAACTAAAACTAAGTAGATGCTGTACCTGTGGGAGGAGAGGTGGTATAGAATGAGAATGATCGGAAATTGAAAATAAGGCAACTGGGATGAAGGAGAGAGACTCTGATTGTACATTTAAAAAAAAAAAGATTCTGACTTTTAGGTTCATGTGAATATTTTGGGGGAAGAGAACTCAATGAGTGGACTGTTTTTTCAGATGATTAATCATGCTGGGAGGTGGGAACGAACCCAAATAATTTATATTACTATATTAACTGTATATATCCTTGAATTAAAGAGAAAATGTGTATAAACAAATGATAAACTATAGTTAGTTAGTAGGTTTGTTTTTCATAGTTGATGGGTTAGCAGTTCTGAAAGCAGTTTATATTCTGGGATTGAGGAAATAAATACCTGTATTGATAATAAGAACCAGGTTTTTCTCTATTAGAGAAGGCAGTAATAGATATGGAATGCATTTGGGGGTAGGATGGACTCCGTGTGTGGTATTGGGTTTGAGATTGGAATTATCTATGTGAACTCATGGGTTTTAACATAGACTGATAAATAGATCTATAAAGACACAATATTTTTTGTGTGATTGTGTGTGTGTACATGCATGTACACATACAAATATACATATTCTCTAACTCAGTTTTTCTCAACCTTGACACTATTGACATTTTGGGGCAGACAATTCTTAGTTGTGAGGTGGCCATACTGTGTATTATAGGGTATTTGTTAGCACACTTGGCTGCACACTTTGCCTCTACCTGCTTATGTACTTAACAAAACCAGGGCTACCTAATAAAATGGCTGATTACAGGAAGAGTACAAGATGAGCCTGAAACATCTGTGTAAGAATGTAAACAAGTGCTCAAAAAATGATGACCTGTCAAAAAGACACAGGAGCCAGCTTGCAGGGACTCCCACTGGTCAAATTGGAGAAAACGTCAACAAAATAAATAGTGTTAGTAATAGATTATACTCCATTGAATAAAACAAGAGCCCATAAGTTAGTTCTGACATAGATAGGCTGAATAAATGAGGGAAAAGAAATAGCTCTTGCTTACAGATTTTTAACTAGTAAATGTAGAAAAAGCACCATCTGGAAAACACCAAATTGTTTAGGTAAGAATCATCAACAGATGCTAAAATTAAATGGGGAAATATGAGAAACATATTTTCACAGTTTTGTAATGTCCTCCATAAGATAGTTATTAATTACAATAGAAAATGTGTGCGTTTATATTAATTTACTTTACACTAGAAACCTAACCAAATGGTCAAGATTAACCTCACTGGTGATAGGATAAATCTGTACCATGTGCCTGTTGTTGTGATGCTCTGAGAAGAATATAATTTGTGTGATACTCTTGCCAAAAATGTATATACCCTGAATATAATCGTGAGGAAACATCAGACAAACCAGACTGAAAGACACGTCTACAAAATAAATGGCTCCTGCTCTTCAAAAATGTGAAGGTCAAGAAACACAAAGAGAAGTCAAGCAATGAGCGACTTATCTAGATCAAAGTAAACTAAAGACACATGACAACTTAATGGAATGTGTGATCTTGCATTAGATCCTGTATCAGGAAAAGATTTTTTTTTGTAGTAAAGGTCATAAATGGGACAATTGATGAAATTTGAATAAAGTCTATAGATTAGATAATAATGCCACTCTCATTGTTACACTTTTCTGATTTTGATGATTGTACTGTGATTACAGAAGAGACTTACCCTCCTTTTAGGAAAATGGCATATTGCCTGTAACTTACCTTCAGATATTTACAAAAGAAAATTATATGTATGGTCTATACATGCAGAGAGAAAATTAATGATAAAGCAAGTAAATGTGGAAAGATATTCATGATTGGAGAACCTGAATAAAGGATACACAATAATTCTCTCTACTATTTTTTGCAGATTTGCTGAAATTATTTCAGAATAACGATTATAAAAATAAGGAAGAGGAGCCTCTCCCCTACTTCCAGAGATACCATTTTGATATTTACTTATTAATCTGGCAAATTCTAAAGGAAAGACAAGTTTAATAAAAGTTTTGTGAAGGACAAAAAAGAATAATTTACTGTCTTATTTG